CCCCCCCCCCCCACCCCTTCCCTTCCCTTCCCTTCCCTAAGCTCTTGCGTGACTTTTCAATTGAAATTTGGCAAAGAATATTTGTATTTTGCTAATTGTTTTGTATTAATTTGTTTACATTTTATAAATTGGAATTAGATTAGTGTGGTTAATCAAATTGGAGAACAATGATTAGCCGATTAGTTGGTTGTATTTTGTTAATTAAAATTTATAATGAAGTCATTATACGGACATTTTCAAAGTAGGGGAATCAACAAGGTATGATATTTTTAATATTATCATGTTATTGGAAATAAAATCATAGTCAAATGCTGCCCGCACTAAGTTTGATTATTGGCTCTGCCCCTGATATTGAGCTCAAATTTCATGATTCAGTGGAAGTAATTTTCAATAAACAGTAATTTCCTCTCTTTTAGCTTCTTTGATTTGATTTTTTAGAATATTAACTAAAATTATAATTTGCATCCCTTTTTTATATGTTTGAAGTTTGTGGGGGTGCACAATCATATTTTTATTTAGAATAATACTATTTGTAACTGATGCTTACCCATCAGTTGTCTATGAGGTAGTGAGTCACTATCACATTCTCTACCGATTAAAATTTATCTCAATTTTATAGGAGAATGTGGTCGTTATTTTACTACCATAAGAATGCTAACGAGTAAGCTCTACTTATGAATAGCATCACTCATTTATTTATTTTTGATCTAGGCATATACCTTATCATCTTTTCTTGATTCACATTTATTTACTATTTTCAGTTGTCGTTATATACAAATATATGTTATGCACAACATACTTATTGAACATTGTTTTTTACTTTGCAAAAGTTCCCTTGTTGTGCGATAATATCGCTGTTCATTACCTTATTCATTTCCTATTTTTCTTGTTTAGGAACATTTTCAGAAACTAAGAATTGAGAGCGCAATGACTTCATCTGAACCCACTTCTAAACAGGTGATTATTTCTCCTTGAATTATACTTCAATTTTCACATGGTCTGCCGTTGGAAAATTAAAAATGGATAACGGTAGACTTTTAAAGAAATTGCAGCTCATACTTCTATGGAGGTCCAATTAATTCAAGTCATTTTACTTGATATTTCTACATTGACATTCAACCCCATCAAACCAAAGTGTCCAGTTGCTTTTATTGTACACAGACCCATTGCACAGAAATAATCATGACTAGGTTGTCGGGTGTGCGTTGATGGCATGTTGCTATTGAATTTGACGAAGTTTTCATGAATTTGACTACCATCTCATTTTTTTTTTTTTTTGCTTCTATTCTCTTGTTGAATGACAGATTGCTTACTTACAGAGTCTTGGATGCACCATTATCCCTACATCCCGCCTTCATGCTTCTCATTTGATCGAGCAATATAAATCATTGTAAGAGATATGAAAAATGAACCCGATCGCCCTGACATTACTGAAGTTGCCTTTTTTTTGTCCTCCTGATTACATTATTGATGAGGATAAGTTATTTACTCATGCACGATGTCCACCTCTTCTTCGCCAGATTTAAATCTGCACAGTTTCTTTTTAATAAAAAAAAAGAAGGGAAATTTTCCTTGATGTGCATAGAGGCATTGAAGCAACAGAATATTTATTTGATCTCATCAGTGTTTTAGTAGCAACTTGGAATGTGGGTTTTTGTCTGGAAAATAAATGGAGTTTGTTCTTATGAAATCCACATATATAACTTAGATCCTGGTTTGATGGCAGAGTTCAAATTATTTTACCACTAGATTCTCAGCATACTTCAATAGTTCAAGCGAACTTACTCCCTCTGATAGAATTGTTATTATATCATCTTTATTATCTATGTAGTAAGATGTTATCAATAGATGCCTGTATTTGATTAAGCCGATTCTGAAAAAAAAAAAAATATACTCCATTAACTCAAACTAAGCACTGTTACTTTTGAAAAGTGTATCTAATTTAGTAGATTGAATATTTGAAATTGATTTTTTCATGGACAAGTAGTGTTCTGCATTTAGTTTTCTGAAACTTTGAATTTTATTGTCCAGAGTGTAACACCCTGCATTTTTCTTACTATGTGAACCTAAACTTGTCATTTAGCATAAATGATTTATTTGTTTACATGAACTTTTAGAAAATTATTTGAGTCAAATATTTAAAGTTGATGAAAATATATCAATATTATATTCGTTTTATAGCTCGTGTCAAATAATATAATTTGGAATCAAGAAAAAGTAATTTCGAGTTAGTATGCCAGAGTTATTCTAATAAAAAGAAATATGTTATCTTTTAATATTTTATTAATATATAATATAAAATAATTTTCCTTCTAAAAATCTATACTGATTATAATGATATGAAATGAATATGTTTTAATATAATTAAAGTTATTAAACCTAATTATCCCATTAGCCTTTATAATAAATAGATTTGTTAGCCTTATCACATTCACAAGCCATTTTTATATTAATGTTACATGCATGGTGGCTAATTCCATTAATATTCAATTAACGAGAGGATGCCTTTTCACATTTCTGTAAATTACGTGTGTGGCGAAAAAATTATATATATACGAGATGTGAATGATTTTCCTTCTACGACAATTATATTATACATATTTCACGCTACAAATATTTTTAGAATTGGAGTAGTGTCATATTTATATTTTCAAATAAATTCTTGGACGTCAAATTAAGGTAAGAATACATGATGCAAGTGGTAAATTCTTATTCCTTGATATTTGTATAAATTTTAATGCTATGAGGTCTTCGGGTTGAATTCTATGTTAAATCCTTTGGGATGGACCGTCAGGTTAAAGAGAAGTTAAATCTTTCGAGATGGACCGTGAGGTTAAAGAGAAAATGTTAAATCCTTCGGGATGGACCGTTTGGTCAAAGATGTTAAATCCTATGAGATATAGGAATTTTTAAGAAATTCTTTAAGCTCTAAATCTAAGAAATATTGGTGTGTTATGCTATTTTTATATTTATATCATGTGAATAAGGATGTGCACGTATTCCTACTGAGTGTTTTCAAAATATTCATTTTTACAATATTTTCAGATGAGAACGGATCGTGTGGAGACATGGAAGATTGACATAGCAATGCTAATGAGGTCGTCAAGTAAATTTTCTAGAAAGATAATTGTCCACTTTTATTTGAAGAATATCGTATGTATGTTATTTAGTAAGTTGTCCAAGCATTCGATATGTTATGTTAAATTTTAAATTAATAATTTCAAATCGAATATTTTCGATATATTTCCGCTTAAATTAGATAGAGAAAAGTTTTGGTAGCATCTTAAATTTATTTTAATTTAAAAATAATATAATAATATGAAAAAGAATACGAGCGTTACACAGAGGCTCTTAGAGGACCGGTGTAGAGCAAATTCCACCTGGGATTCAAGTGGTTTATTTTAATAATCTTCTAGTTGCTTATACTGAACATGAAAAACGCAAATAACCTCTGCATTTGGAAAGTTTGCATGATTCAGTAATGGCTACATGTGTGTGTACACCAATACTATTTGATTATGTTTGGTAGCCTGAGCAACTTTAGATGGAATTAAGGGAAAAAAAAAAAGTTAAAATATTGTCTATTGGCTTTACCATATACGCCCTTAGTTTGTGCCGACCAATCCTTTGAACATTTTTTGCCGAAGTGCCGTTACGAATCAGGTTTCAGCAGCTAGTTTATTGTGAAATTCTTAAATCAGTTTAGTAATTTTGATTAGTACCATAAGCTATTTTCTGACATAATTCAGGTTACTCATCCACTTATATCTAGCAACTTATATTTTTAATGACTAAAAAGGAAACCAAAACAAATATTTAAACAAAATTTCCTTAATAAATTGCTACAAGAAATGAACTCCAATAAATACGCCCCGCATTGATGAGGAAAAATAAAGAGTCAGGGTCAAAGACTCAAAATGTTGAAACAAAATTGAAGTGGTGGTAAAAAATTTAAATAAATAGAACTTGAAAAACTGTGAAATTGAAAATCTGATGATACGGTGGATTCTTGGTTAGCTTATCATTTTTAAATTTCCGATTTCGCCATGTGGCTCATGAAAATTATTAGCCAAAGGATGAAAGCCTCTTGTTTTGTCACTTGACTAAAGTACAATCTTACATTTTCAAAGGAAATGATGTTTGTATAGCACCAAAGTGCTGTAATTTTTACAACCCTTTCACAGATGTGAGGCCCGTTTCAATAGTACCATAAAATGTTTATGTAAGTTGAGTGACTAACACCTTTTTAACCTCCAAATATGTAGTTAGGACTTGGGTCTTTCAAGTATCTATGAAATTACTGTCCATAAGTCAAGGATCCAAATATCTTCAACTTTTTATTGCATTTCTTCTGTTGAAGAAATTTTCTTCTAGTAATTTAGACATCGTAATACGCTGAAAAATTAGCAAGAATGAACTACAAACATATGGGAAATTATTATTGCAGTCAACACTGATGACAAGGAAAAATGTTTGAATTTCTTATAACTAATACAAAAAAGGAAGACTTGACTTCATCTCCTTGTTAATTTTAATATTTTTATAAAAGATTCTCCAGATAATTTGCAGCTGAGTGCCAAATTACACGCTTATAGCTAGATCATTCCAGGGAACTTCATCATAAAGTATTGCCACAAATTAGTGTTTTAACCAATGTTTGAAAACCAACTTTGGATATTGGGTATTGATCCGAACTACGAACTCATCAATGACAGAGATCACAAATTATTCACATATTTTATTGAACACTCTTGAAGGTACATGTTTTCGTCAAAAAATAGCATGACGTGCACGTGGTCGAGAGTCCGACATTGGATTACTTGGTATCAATTAATTATATTAAGGTCCTGTTCGATAGAAATTTTGAGAATTGATTTTTTGACGGTTATGAGAAAAGTGGGGGCTACTTATGGGAGAAAAAGTAAAAAATTAGGCTGAAATAGTGAAATAACGAACAAAAAATCACTTTTTTGGGTGAAAAATCTCTCCCAAACATCCCCTAAGAGTGTGTTTGATTGACAATATTTTTCATGAAAAATGTCATTTTTCACCATAATTTCTACCTTGGTATTGTTTGATTGATTTTTTTTTTTTTTTTTTTGCATGGAAAATGTTTTCCTACTTTTGGTCACGTGACTATATTTTCTTTGAAAACAATGAAAATATTTTCTTTAATGGGAGTAAGTTTTTATTTTCCAAGTAGTTCATACTCCATCTCTCTCTCATCTACTCCATCTCTCTCTCATCTACCTACCAATAAAAAATAGATAAGTATAATATTTTTCAGGTTGAAAATAAAATCAATCAAACACATTTAGTTGATAATTTTCATGTAAATAATTTCTAGACAATTCAATTATCTATAATTTATTTTTTTACATATAAATTTCATGCTTACAGTTAAACACATTATAATTGAATTTGGTTCTCATTTTGGTTTGTGCTTGGTTCATCAATTCCATGGCTCATCTTGGTACATTTCATCCTCTATAAGTATAATACTATCTGTACAAAAATAATTACATAATGATTTACATACAAATGAGATGTCAAAAGGAGATTGGTGAATTTTATTTTTTAAATTTTGGTTGAAGAAATTGACATAATTATATCTCACTATATCATGTGTATGTAAACTTATTATATACATATAGCACAACGACATCTATAAATATGCAAGGTAATTCCACATTTCAAGTAAGTTTTGACTTCCTCTAGTATATCCTCTCTCTTATTTTCCTTTGCACTCTATATATTTAATTTCGACAGTTGACTTAATCGTCGAAATTCAAACGATCAACGAACCCTTTTCTATGATGGGTGACCTTTCAATCCGTTGCGTGCGCAAGGGCTCACTTGGGACAATTTGGCTAGACACAACACAAGGAGTAGGACCGGTCTTGAGGCGAGGTGGTTGAGGCCTGCACCTCAGGGCTCAAAGCCGAAGGGGCCTCATTTATATGGCCCAATATTTTATTTTATTTTTTCAATTAAAGGTAGAAACCCCGGGGGGGCCTCATTTCATTGCCTCTCACCTCTTTGCTCCATCGGACTGATGACGACGACACTGCGGCACTCCCTTAGTCTGCTTCTTTTCTTCTTCTTCCCTTCTTTCACTCTTCACTCTTCGCTTTTTCACAAATCAAAATGTGCGCCCTTTTTTCAACCTTAACCGCACTGCTATGTTGCTAGCATCTGCGCGACTACTCCTTCACCTGCTAGTAGCACCTCCGGCCAGCCACTTACTCTAGGCCCCAGCCAGATTACTTATACAAATACATAGAAGCTTTGCATATCTGAATTTCAATTCTTAGCAACATCAAAAAAAATTCAAAAATGGCAGAGGACGAAGCTATCGCGCAAATTCATGTAAGCTCCGTACATCTGTTTTCATATTCAATTCAAACCCAAGATTCCCAAAACACCAGAATTGGAGAAGAAATTCTTTTCTTTTAAAAATTGAATTTTAACTTTTATCAAGTTCTTAGAGTTTTGTATCAAAAAAGCTGGTTAAGTTTTAAACTTTTGTTTGTCAAATCAAAGCAAAGAGAAGGTTTTGATAATTTGTTGTAGGAGAATCAAGATAAAACTTGAACATTGATCTATTATATATTAATAACAATTATTTACTTTGAGATTAAAATTAGTAGAAGACCAAAAAAAATAAAAATAAATGCTGACTCCTCAATTGTAAGATTGATTTGAGACAAATCCAACTCATTTGAGATAAGATTACTTTGAGGTTTACTGATGCACATGTCAATTGTAAGAATTTTAGGATTTTTAGATATTGTAGTGGAGCAATTTGAAGGTGTTAGACATATTTTACGTGTGCCAAATTGAAACCATGGCACAAACTAAAGTATACACAGAACAAAAAAATGTTAAATTTAAGCAAACATCTGGAAAGTGTCCTACAGTCATTCTCTTATGTTTTTGCAATATGATTTATCCTTTATTATGTTGTTAATAGAACTGATTTTGATGTCTCTTAATGAGATATTAGTGCATGGATTGGTACTAGAAATGTAGAACCTTAGCTGTGTGAGTTTTTCTAGAATGATGTATTGAGATCAAAAGATTTTAAGCTTCCACGCATTCATGTCTGTCCACTTCAAGAATGGATTTAGCCAAGATCCTTCTTGTGGTCGAAAATTATATTCTACTTCATGCAAATGTAGAGAAGAATAGAGTGGGAGAGAAATGTAGAGACGTTTTAGGGGTTTACTTCATGGTTGCTATTAAATTTATCTTTCATATACAATTTAAATTTATCTTCAATAATTAATTGGTTGTTGTGGTTGCTGTTAAATTTTGATTCCAAGATTGTGAGTTGTGACGGTGGAATTCTCAAAATGTCGCATTGTGTCATTTCATAATTTTTGTTCAATTCATATTTTTCAGGTAAGCAATGGGTTGCCTTTGCTTATTTATAAACTATTAAACATATAGGAAATATTCGAAGCCTTGTTGGCTTATATATTGCACTGTAGTATTGCACTCTTGTCAAATTATATTGACTTTTATTAGATTTAATCGTAGGATCAATTGTTTGAGCCCTATTTTTGGTATAGAATGCATTTCGGAGCAATAAATAATAATAATAATATTATTATTATTTTTTGTTTTTGTTTTACAGTTGAGTATTAAGTTAACAGTTGGTACCATAATATGCATATATTTTGCATGCATATTTTTATTTTTCTTTTTTTGGTGGGGGAGGAGGGTCTAATTTTTTAAGTTCGCCTCAGGCCCTCAAAAGCACGGGATCGGCATTGACAAGGAGGGATTGACCTCTTCGCTTGCCTTTTGACTAATGGATTCAGTCTAGTTTTTCCAACAAAATGAACCAAAATGGCTGAATTCTGAGTTGACTCGGCTCATTGGCAAACTCGAGTGATTTCAAAAATTTGAAACAAAGGAAACTTTGGATACAAATGTATTGTAAGCTTATAGAAGTTTATTTACAAGTAAATGAGTAAATTATTAATTTAACAACCGAGCTACATGTACATGTAAACGCCTGGATACAACTAACATTTTTCTTAATTTAATTTTAACAAAAAATAAATGAGTTTTAATTGAACAATAAAAAAATATTAAAATATTTAACTTCATTTATTTGAATTTTAAAAATAAGAGAAATTACGTTGAGCACTGAAAAAGGAGTACATAAGCTTGGCCAAAACGGGGCGAAAAAATTATCTTTGACCCCCACCCCCACAAACCCTGTTTGACCGCGAATCGATTTATAAACCCTTTTTGCCCTTTTTGTTTGCTTCACAGCTGCAGCAGCAAAATTTGCAGAATCCCGGAATTTTCAGACAAATCCAGCTTTCGTCAAACACATTACACACATGTATACACAATTGAATAAATAAATTGCATATATAGAGCTGTAGAAAGGCTGAAAGAGGAAATATACGAGAGATGGAGCACAAGGGGCACAACGAACAAGAGGACGATGTGTACGGCGGTGATGTACCTGATGAAGCATACATGGATGCCGATTATGACGCTGAAGTCGAGGCCGATGCGGATGATAGCTTGAAAGCTAAGGTATTTTTAAATATATATGTATGTATTTTGTATGTTTATATGCATTTAATTTACAAATTGACTGGTGTTTGAATTGTAGGAATTGGAAAGTATGAAGAAGAGGTTGCAGGAGATTGAGGAAGAAGCTGGCGCGCTTCGAGAAATGCAGGCCAAGGTGGAGAAAGAGATGGGTGCTGCTCAAGGTATGACGTTTATGAAATTGATGTTCTATATGTCTATGTTAATTCTTGGCTTTTATGCGGTGTAACTGAATGTGTTAATTTTGTGATCTATCATTTTATGGGTTTTGTTCCCACAAATTGTGTATTTTGCTGTTTGGAGAATACAAGCTTATAAGGGTTCAGGCTGAGGCTATTGGATAATTAGTATTTAATTGTTTTCACTGAATGTGGGCTTAGATTTATTGGTTTGTGCCTGAATTTTTATGTAGTTTTAGTTGACTTGAGTTTGAGTGTTCGATTCTTCAGAATTTTCTATTAGGACAAATGGGGCTGGCATTAGAATTTTCTGTTGTTAGTCTTTTAATGTGGTTGCACTTGACTAGCTTCTTTCCTAAGTGGCCTTGACGGTTTTTGTGCTCAATTTTCACCGGAACACAACAAGCTTTTTTTACCTCATTATATTTATTGACTAGAGCTGATGCAATTAGAACCTGCTCTGCAAAGCTCTTCAAAATCAAATTCTATTTGCACTGTCATTACATGATCAATTTATTGTTATCATGTCTTTTGCTTAGACAATATTTCATATGCGCGGACCATTACATTCTTTGAGCATCTGACAAATGCCTCTCACTCCATTGATTGCACTCAAATGTAAGATAAGCATCTCTTCTGACACTTATATGACTATTACTTGACTCGTATCTGGCACGCAACTGAAAAATAATGCAATTGAATTTGATGGATTCACTGTGTTCGATTTATATTTATACGGTAAACAATTTTATTTTATTATTATTTTTTAATGAAAAAGATCAAGTTCAACAATATTTTGTATGCTGTGCAGACAACGTATTATGGGATAATTTGTCATCACATGTTCAAATCATTAACTTCACGTTCTGTCAGATTTCAAGTGATAGACAAGAGCGTGAGATGTTGGTGAAATGTTCACAAGTTTCTGGAAAAATCTCATATAATGTGGAGCCTACAAATGATGTGTTCTTCATGCACGTAATAGTGTCTGAAAAATGTCTAGTATACTCCCAAAATGGGCATATTGCCTTCTTGGAAGTATCTGTGGTGATAGTGGAGGGAGTGAGAAGATTTTATCAATGTATTTGATTGGAACTGCCGTAGAGGTAGGTTGGTTTTCTACTTTGTAATGCTTCATAGAAGGGACATATTTCACTCATACCATAACAATGAAAACTGAAAATAGCTAGGTTTTGAGGAGTTTGGTATTCTTTTGGCTATTGAACGCTTAATGAATTTCTTCTTTTGAGCATTGGGGGGCAGCAGGAGTATATGAGCCAGTTGTGAATGGGAGTAGATTGTTTAAGTGTGGCATGAAATTTAAAGATCAGAGATAAGTTTCAAATTAGTCGTTTTTTATTTGTTTACCATCTTCAATCATGCTTTGTGATTGGATTTGGATATTAGTTAGACTACAGAATTGTATCAAACTAAGCTTTAAAAACTTATCGTTTGTGTATCATTCATTCCTTGGAGTCCATCTGGAACAAAATAAAAAGTCAGCAGAGCTTTAGTTGGTTGGTTGGTTGGTTTATCATCCAATTCTATTCTGCAGGAGACGAAATTCTTGCATAGAGATTCAACTTGGCATGAAATACTCACATGCATACATACCTGATGTATACGCCCACATACAATTGTGCATATAGAGAAAAATAGAACAAGAAACCTTAGCTTTGAAATTCACATAGCGTACTCCCTGGGCAGCCTTCTGATTTGCTTTGACATATGCATCGTTGTTTTTCCTTCATAGAGTATGTTTTTGATATCTTGTTGCCCCTGATGCTCCACCGTTGCACATTCTGCAAACCACCATGGATTTTCTTTCCCTCGTTATCCTTCCTCCCTGTCCCCCCAAATCCCCGTCAGTAGTATGAGTATATGAATATGCTAAATGTAACAGTTGAAATTGTGAGCATGAGCTGTCTGATGGGTTGGTGTTGCCTAGTATTCATAGTATTGGTGTTTGATGAGATCAAAAAAATTGGAAGGATTTTAAATGCAAGTGGGAGATGTGCATCGGGGATCATGATAGAGGTTAAAGGTGGACATAAGTGAATGGTTTTATACTTTCACTGAATAATTTTGGTGTTCAAGTGGGATTCTCTCTTGAGATGGACTGTGTTTATGTGCAGTAAATTCTCTTATCTGGTGGTGTCACAGTCACATTGAAATCTTACTTGGATTGTTTATAGTACTGCATTTTCAATTTGAATGGTTGGTGAATGAAAGCATTATTGATTTCTTGAAAGATTATGAGTATGAGTATAATTCAACTTTATATTTCAAAGTCACACCAAAGCAATCTTTTTTCCCTTCTCATATTAGTACAACACATCATCTGAGCTATTATATGCATAAACTCACCAATTGGACTATATTTTGGTTAAGCCATCTGCAGAAGTAGGCAAAGTAAACATAATGAAGCTGGCAAAAAGCTAAAACAATTTGTCCATATCGATTTAGTACTCTCCAACCACTTACCTGTTCTAATTAATGAATGTATTTCTACCACTGCTCAGATTATTTTAACTTGTTTATTTTTTCGGATACTGATTCTTTTTCCAGTTTCTGATCGCTGTCCGTCATTTTCTTAATTTATCTATTGGTCACTTTGATAATTAATTCCAGGCGATGGTACAGTTACACATTTACCATTTAAATTCCTTTCCAAATATCTATTTGCTTTTTATGACAACTTTTCCGTGTAATCAATATTTGAGTCCATTTTGGCCTTGAGATTAGCCATTTCAGCCTTGGCAGGATAATTTTAAGGAAGAAGAGTTTATTCTTAATAGGCTATTCAAATCCCCTCATTTACTAGGTTTGGTTGAGTAGTTTCCAGAATAAGCGGTAGCGAGTTTCCTTTCTTCCCCTAACATTGGCCAATAATTGTGTAGACCTTATTGAATCTTGAAATTCTCTCATCATCAGAGGTGACTCATTGAATCTCTGGTTATCATTGTGGAGCATGTATTTTATGCTGATCATACAATTTGATTGAGATCAAATATAGATGGTTATGCCACTCGGTGAGTAAAGAACTGAGATCTACTAAAGGAAGAAATGGTTATATCAGTAACAAAGTTTAAGTTCTTAATTTTATTTTCTGGTGGTTATTTGAATATATGAATAGATACTATTGATATCCGTTGAGTCTCATAATCTGGAAGTCTTAATTGTCTCTTTCTTAACTTGTATGCATATTTGTTGTTTTCTCTTTCTTGACGTTGTTTAGCCTATTTATAATTTTATAATTGGGCAAATCCTGTTTTGAAATCCTTAGGACGAAGAGTTTATCTTGTTGCACGTATTGTTCTCATAATCAGCTGTTATGTAGTTAGAGTAACCTTATTTTGGCTAGGAACTCTATTACAGATTACTTTGTGGCTTGAATTTTTTGACAAACTCAGTTTTCTTCTTTATTAGTTTTAATCTTTCCTGTTCATTGTCAAGATGTAGAACACTCCTAAATCGAGTTTGCTCAGTCTATCAATTATTTCATATGGGTCAAGCATATCCTGATCCCTCTCTCAGTTAAGACATTTACTTTATTTCTGAACTGTGACCCTTAAAGTAGAAGCTGAGTTGGCTGTTATAATGGTATCTCAACACCACCCTCTAATATCCAGATCTTAAATGCTTGCAGATGAGGCAAATATAGGCTGTAAAACAAATTAAACAACTGCAAAATAAATGACAAATTCCTCAACATTACAAATGTGTCATGTCATAATAACCGAGCGCAAGAGAGCATATTTTTCCTTTTCTTAATTTTTTAACATGGATCACATTAGTTTTTGCCATTAAGTTGGTGACTGACAACTAATTGTAACATTTGTTTATGGCATCTTAGAAGATTTACCTGGTGACTCTGCTACTCAGGCAGAAAAGGAGGAGGTGGATTCCCGTTCAATATATGTTGGTAATGTGAGTTTCACCATCCCCTTCTTAATTCTGTTAATTTTATTCCCTGTCATAGCATGCAAATTTTGTGCGGTGCTAGTTGCCACCTCTTTCTTAGATAGACACATTGTTCTCTAACTCTGTTGGTTTGGAAATGGGATTTCTTTTATCATTTTGTTTCCTTTGGCTTCCTTCATCCATGGAGTGATCTTCCTCAGGTTTTCTTCATGTAGGGATGCGGAAAAACTCTCTTAATCCCTACTGTGGAAAAATTTAAATTCTAGTGTGGAACTGCTAAATGCTAGTAACTGGCTTTATATATATATATATATTTTTTAACAGAAACATAGAGTATGTTTGGGGTGACTTATTTTGTAAATTCTAGTATGGCTTATTTGATTTATTTTGAATGTAATTGGGTTCATATTAAAATAAAGGGTAATTAGCACAAAACGTCCCTACCTTTCATGATTTTTGTGGAAAACGTCCCTACCTTTCTTTTTTGGCGCATTTTATCCCTACATTTACCTTTTATTGTGGAAAACATCATTTTCATCATTTTCTCAATAAAAAGATATAAAATGACTAATATACCCTTCTATATAAATATTAAAAAAGTAAAAAACTAATTGCAATCATAGTTCCAATTTTTAAAAAAGTTCAAAAGAGGAGGAGGTGGAGAATTTTTTTATTTTTTTATTTGGAACTACAATTGCATTTAATTCTTTATGAATTTTGAGTAACATATACCCCCTTCCACTATTTAAAAGCATTTTTAAGGAAAAAAATTGTCCTGTGCCTAAAATACCCTTTACTCATCAACTTAGTTCCATTTAAATATTTTTTCGTTTCATTCACATTTTATGAATGATTAATTTCTAAAGTTCTTTCATGCACGTAATTTAAATTTTATTAGACTGGGCAATAAAATTTCTAATTTTTTTTTTTTTTAAACAATTGAAATTCAATAAAATATTTCAAGCATGATAGAATTTTCTCGATAACAATAATTTAAGATTTATCTACAGCTTGAAACCAAACTATTTCTGGAATTTAACCTGCACTCGGGAATAGTAATGCTTTGAAAAAAGCGTGATTCATTAAGTAAAAGACCTTAACTGAATAGTTAGAGGGCTATATTATAAGTTAATACAAAATACTACACTCTAGTCTCAATATTCGAAAAGATTAAAGAAAAAACTGAATTTAAAAGGGGGGGAAAAACCTTAAAATGGAAGTAATGTTCTAAGAGGTATTTTAGGTACTTGGCAGTGTTCTTAGATAAATGCCTTATAAATAGGGAAAAGGGGAATTATATGTTATTGAAAATAAATCTCAAAGGATATCTCTATAATTTTTGAAACTAGAGGGGGCAATTGTATTTTTCATAGGTGTTTCTGGAAAAAAAAAAAAAACAGAGTTTAAAACAATAATACAATCAAGGATACAACACATTCTTCCAACCGAGGATAGACAGTGTGTAGAATCCAAAATGGTTTCATAGTCATTTCTTTTCCACAATGATAAATGTTAAAAGATACTCAAGATGTATTAGAAAAGTCCTATTCTCCTTTTTTATTATTATTATTAATTCTTTTTCTGAAATTGAGTCAAAGGGGGTGAAGGGAAATCCTTAGTCCTTAGATGTATAAGCCCCAAAAAAAAAATAATAATAATAAATAAAAAATTAAAAAAAAACAAAACTTTGCTCTCACATAAATTGCCAAGCAGCTGTTTATTTTTTTCCCTCAAAATTTTGGAGTTCCGTGCTGTCCAAACCACCAAAATATGAACAATTCCAGATCTTTCCACACAGTGGCACCCAACTTTTGTAAGCCAGAACCAACATATTTTCGCGTGAGGCAAATTAAAAATGGCCAAGATCACCATATGTAATCTTGTTTGCTAGTCTGCCTCTTAATATGTTTCCCTAATTTTAACTAAATTTGCATTGCCAATTGCTCTTTCAAAATTCAGGTGGACTATGGCTGCACACCTGAGGAGGTGCAACAGCATTTTCAGTCATGTGGTACAGTAAATAGGGTGACTATTTTGACTGATAAGTTTGGCCAGCCGAAAGGTTTTGCTTACGTAGAGTTTGTTGAAACTGAGGCTGTGCAAAACGCTGTACTTCTAAATGAATCTGAGTTGCATGGCCGTCAGCTGAAGGTTTGTGAACTTCTATTCATCCAAAAACTTAAAACATGAGAGGTATGAATCTTTACAACGGCAAAGTTGATGTATTTTGGAATTGGGCAGGTATCTGCTAAGCGTACTAATGTTCCTGGGATGAAACAATATCGAGGAAGACGTCCAAACCCTTATTTCGGATCGAGAAGGCTGTTCATGCCCTTTTCACCTGTCTACCCTCCCTATGGTTATGGGTAAGCACAAGGGTTTAGTTTTTCGGCTTTCACCTGGAACAATGAAATAATGAACAAATGCATTCTACTTGTTGAGGCTTAGGGCTTGAAGCTTTTGAAGCGAAAAATTATGTTATTGTGCATATCATTTTTTTTTCTTTCTGTTATGTAGATTAGTCAAAACATCCTTTTACTTATTCTTTCCGGGACAAACATATTTCTGCACCTAGTTCAAAAATATCTTAGTCTTTACTTGGAATAAAATTGGACGACTCGATTATAATAAATTTCGACCTTCTCATGTGTAGGAGGGTTCCAAGGTTTAGGCGTCCCATGCGCTACAGGCCATATTGATGCACCTTGATCATCTTCTGTTGGTGTGCTAGAGATATTGGAGGGTCGATTGTGAATCAACTCTTTTCCCCATAATTGCCGTACACTCATACCTCCATATTTATTGTTTTAGGGATTATTTTGGTGATAACTTTTACCGTTACATGCAACCCATAAAGCCATAAATTAGATTCTCAAACTTTGTAACTTTATTTCGGTATGTTAACAGCAGCAGTTTATACAACTTAAATTTGAACTCATCTGGTTTTTCTTATCGTTTTATGAAGCATGGTTGTCACAGCCCATACGTATGTGACATGTATAAGGGAGAGATGGGAGGTAAAGACGAGAGATCTCCAAGTTTTGTCGCGTGTTTATTTTATCTGTTACGAAATTCTTTTCTAAAAAGTAAAAATGATGCATTTCTTTTGGAACCATGCTACAATGACTGAAAATGGTTGACATGCAACTTGTCCGACGACACTAACTATCTAAAAGTGGAATTGGCACTAATTTGAGGAAACGAAAGATTTGTGTTTTTATAGCTTTTCACTTTCTTCATTTAACCTCGAGAGTATGGGTTAGACCTGCTGGTCCTTGAGAAGATTGACTGGCCAGGGTTTTTAATTGTTTCTACTCATCGTTTCTTTTATTCCGTGCTTTCCTTGGTATATTTTTTCTTTCGTTCAGACAACTTGGAAGACTATTATGCTTTTTGCTTTGGTATTAAATCACTTTATCTAAAAGTCTGACTTGTTATGGAAGGAATTTGTTCGTCGACGCACAATATCGTGCAAACTAAATATGCGAATAATTTTCATAAATGGATGACAACAAACGATTATGTTAAACCACATTATCTATAAATTGAGCTTTTAGAGACAAGACAATTATTTACTTGGCCTCCTTTTGGGAAGAATTTACAAACAATATAATTTATAAATATATAGGAATGATGATGAATAAATGAATAGTTTGTGTACTCATTGAAATGTCTGATAGAAAATTAAAGTTTGACCGATAAATAAATTATCCATGTTGGATAATTTAATACTTTAAAATACCGGATCTTTCATGTTAAATCATCAAGAAATATAATAATTAAAGCGGAAGCATACCTGAGTCTGACATGGTTAATGCAATATGGATTTCGCGGTATGATCTTCCAAATCTACACGCAGTCTCCTATTCCTCTCTGTGATGGGATGCAGTAGAGAATGAACAATAATCTGTTGCGTGTGATCTGGGGACCATAACCTATTTATATGAGGATGCCCTTTGACCTAATTCGGCCCATCATAGAATTAGGACTTGGACCCGGTCTCTACACATATGTAAACCCATACTTTAATTGGATACATTAAAGCCCAAAAATCGAAACCTCATTAGATCACTTTAATTGGGCTCAAGCGAATTCGATAGCCTATAATTTAACACACAATTATTCACACATACAAGCCAATCTTTAATTAAAAATTCTTATAATCTTCCACTTGGGCTATATGTGTCACCTTATAATTGTGCATTAAACATAACCTTATGAGTACTCAGAATTTTGCTATCATTACCGAATGTATCCCCAAACAATCCCGTCCATCAATCATATCAACATAGGATCAAAGCGGCTTTCGCTACTTTCATGTAGCTAAACCCATCAATGGTCACGTACATCAATATAACCGAATGACATGGATCAAGTATGGATGTGTAGCATGGAAATTTCATGTAATGTGATCTATAACATGCCTATTTCCAACTGGTCCACCTTAATACCTTAGTGAGATCATTTTAAACAAGTTCAGAGACAATTAACCAAATAACTTTATAACTGAAAATAACTTTAACTTTAAACCGTATCCAAAATAACAGTACATGTGTCCAATATGAAAAACAAAAAAAATGCAAACTCCCACTGAAACTAGATATCCTCAAGAGACATTACACCCATATAAACAGTGTGCTCATGAAAGACCTTGGGTATCAATCCCTTAGTAAGCGGATCCGCAATCATGGAATTTGTCCCAATATGCTCTATTGACACCTGTCCACTCTGAACTCTTTCTTTAACAGCAAGGAACTTGATCTCTATGTNATTTGAATTAATAATTTAATTTTGAGGGCTTTAATTATAAATTCAGAACTTTAATGGCCCGAATTAATTAATTTTAAAACCTTGGGAACTGAATTATTAAATCCGAAACCTAAAGGCCCAAATCTCAATATAACTTAAAGGTTAGGGACTGAAACCTTAATTTTATAACCCTAACCCTAATTGCAACCAGGGGTCTCAACTTATCTAATTTGCAGGAGAGGCCCCCGCCCCCAAAAATAAAAAAAACTGAATTTTTTTTTTTTTTTTTTTTCTTTCCTCTGCGGCGCCGGCGGCCAGCGCAGCCAAGAGCAGCAGCGCCGGCCCACGCCGGCGCCGCA